TCTGTTACCGGGTCGCGAGTGGAGTTCGCGAGGGCGCCCGAATTCGGAACGGTATCAACTAGGGCGTCTGGAATTTCCCAATAATTTGGAGCATCAAGTTCTCCTGGGGCCGGTTGCTGAGTGGAATCTACGAGAGAGTCCGGAATTTCCCAATAGTGCGGGGCATCGAATGACGTGTCATGGGCACTTCTTCTGCCGTTTTTATTTGCAGGATTGCTAGGCACTGAATACTGACGTTTGAGATGCGTACTCTTATGCAGCCTGTCAAAGATATTGTCCTGGAGCGCCACAACTGGAGACGACGAAGCTCTTCCTCTTGCATTTATATTTTTCATCTCCATAGACTCAGTTGGTTCACCTTGGTTGCCTGTTTGGAAATGAGAGTTTCTGTCATTGTTTCTGCCAGATAACTGTCGTTTTCTATAACCGTAGGCCAGGGTAAGCCCAAGGCAAAATAGTCCACTGCAACCAATGTCAAGGTGAGTCCTAAAGTGATATGTTGTTTTTCTGGACGGTCATCATGTACTTCTGTTCTGTTAGGCATCATTTTTCTTGTTGTGGCTTTGTCTTTTAGATTAAAAGTATATATCGCAGTGGTGTTGGGCGAAACTGTACTGTTGTCGGTAGTATCGTGAACTTGGTTTTCCAAGCACGTTTTGCCAGAGATGATCATGACTTGTGTGGGGTCAAAGAAAGAAAGGGATGCCTTGTCTGGGGTAAGCGAAATACATGTCACATTTCTTATTTCTTGACCTTGAACGTGCCGTCTCATACCCTCCAGAATATTTGAACTGTTTTCCGTTTCTGTCGACTTCTCATCGAATATCAGTGCCGTATTTGCTCTTGTTCCATTTCTGCATGTCTGGATATCTGCAGTAACAAGCCGAATGTTGAGACTATCCTTCAGAGGCAACTGTATTCCTTTTTCCTGCTTCCAGGCAGACACACACTGCTCTGTGGCAGGCGCACCTGCTTTAGCCGAAACAATAACAAATGGTGACACAAGCATTGCTGACTTTGAACGAGTCTCCAAACTATCCAGTGCAGAACAAAGGCTGTTAGTCCCTAAAATAACATCTTTGGACTTCTTCTCATTCCACTCTAGTTGGTATTCGTTGTCGTGGCCTTGACGTAAACAGAGAATAGAGTTCTCGATAACAGCAGATATTTGTCGCATGTGGGAACTAATTCGAAGAGAGAGACTCCACTGTTTTGTGACATCAGTGTTGACGCTGTGGGCATTTGAGAGTTTTACGATCAGCAATGACCTGATGAGCTCGTTGTTGTCGAAACCGTAAAACAGCTCCGGTGAGAGACATGCTTGCACCAACCTGTTCCGACTTATGTCCACTAGGCGAAGTGTGTGCTGGCTGAAAGATTCGAAAGTTCTACCGTGGATTGTTTCAATGCGATTGAATCTCAGTACAAGCTCTCTTAGCTCAAGAAGGCCTAGAAAACTGGAATGGTCTATACACGTTAGCTGGTTTCCCCAAAGTATCAACTCCCAAAGGCCAGTGAGGTCTTGGAAACAACCTGACTCTAGGTGTGAAATTTGGTTGTGCGCGAGAGACAAGGTGCGAAGATGTCTCAAATCACCAGCTGTAAAGTATCTGGTTTTTACCTCAGTCAGTTTGTTGAATTCCATGTGCAACTCCTGTAATGTGGAAAGATTTGCTAAGGTGTTCTGTTCCAAGTCCGTAATCTCGGTGTCTACGAGGGCGAGGAAAGCCAGTTGTGTGCGCTCGGGGATGGGTAACTTTGCCGCCGACAGAACGCCGAACTGAACCCCCCTGACGCCGACCCATTTCGGGTCGCTGAAACACCAAGCGTCGGGGATAGGTCCTGGTCCTTTCGAGCACGTGAGACAAGGATGTTTGATGTTTCTAGTATTGAACCAACTCCCGCTGAACTGTAGACGGCCGTCAGAGCAGCTTACCCATCTGCACTCGGGGGAACAAGACTCATTCGCTGCGGCGGATAGCATGACGCTAAAGAACAACCATACCTTAAGAGCGCTAAGGCGACGTTCCATGATGCTTTGTAGATTTTTTTCTGTGAGTATCTCGAAGAGTTGTAGCCTACACAATTTTATACAGTTCGGCAAAGAACGTTGTAGCCAACAAGACAGAGTATAACTGATGACGTGCTTGCTGAGTCCTGACTTTCGAAGAAATGAAACTTGTCGCCAGAATTTTTTTCTTCAAAACGGAATAGTTGAATAAATCATGTTTTTATTAATAGCCGGAACCAACTAGAAGTGCCATGCGCATTACGGTCCAGATTTCGCTCAGGTGCAGTTCTTCCGCGACAGGGTCGTGATAGTGCGCGGTAAAAAAGTGACGAAAGGGTTTTGAGGGTCCAAGTTTGAGGTGACATTTCTCATAAACTGCCATGAAACATCATTAAACATGGCTTAAGAGTGTAAGAAACGGTGATTTTGGGGTGAAAATTTCTTTTGGCTCCGAACCTTACTTCTGGGTATTCTTGCGCGCCAAGTGTAATCCGCCCGTTTGACCTAGATTTCGCTCTGCGCCTTCCTCATTATCGACTTGCAACCCCTTGTGCCGTGGACGATTTGAACAAGGCTGAGGCAATAAAAATCATTGCCAAGGCGACGACTGAATGATATATATTATTTCATGTGGTGGAGCTAGCAATCTACATTACAATTATCAGGAGAACATATTTCCCTATGTTATAAAGACATGCACGTAGTGAAATTTACAGGATGGGTGGAGGAGGTGTTAGCCTGGATGCCAGACCCAAAGCACACTGGACACAAAATATCTGTGTGCAAGGGTCTGGTAGGGCCAGATAGACCTGCCACTCGAACGCTCAGTATCTGAGCGTAAGGCCCCATTGGTGGAACAGCAGGAAGCAATTTTACACCTCTGCTATGATTGGTTAAAAACTTCCAGCTGTAAATCTTTGAATCTTCAACAGTGGCCACCAGCAGATGAGATAAAACTGTAGATAAGGTTATCTTGTCCTGGTGTGTCAGAGGACTGTTACCTAAACAAACAGGAAAGCCTGGGCTGTACACTACTTCTACTATTAGACTAAGTTCTGCTGTTATTTTGGAAAATAAACTCCCAAAACATTTAGAAAATTGACTGGTTAATGATTAACTGTTGAGCCCAAGATTGTCTCCTGCTGACCAATGGTGATACCATGTAACAGGCTACCTGTGGTGTGGAGGGTCATCAATCACAGCTTCTCCTCCCTATGCTCGAGAGCCTTTCCTAAGAGACCCTACCAGACCCTTGCACACTGAGATATTTTGTGTCCAGTGTGCTTTGGGTCTGGCATCCAGGCTAAGGAGGTGTGGGGCAATATACCAAATACACGTATAGGAGGAATCAGCCGTTCTTCCCCAGCAATATAGATTTTATGATGACATACTTACTTACTTTACTCGAGTTCCCGCTAGAAACAAACTGAAAACAATCCTCCACTTCACTCTATCCTCCACCAGAGACTGGATTTTATGTCTGGTCTGAAGTTGTTACTCCTTTGACTTTTTTGTTTACCTTTTGTGGGTTCCAAAAGGACGGATAATTTCTTTTCTCTCTGTGACCTGTTTGAATATGGTCTTTTGCCAAAGACAGCTGTGCTTTCTGTCCATGGTGTGGGGAGAAGACTGATGACCAGTAATTAATCATGCCAGGCAGCTGGATGGGTGGCACTTGGGCACCCCCCGTGTAAGTTACCTGCTTGATCCAAAAACCACATGGCCCAAGGTTTCCTCCAAACCAATTCCCTGGGGAACGCATTCGTGCAATTTTTGAAATTCTTTCAAAGCGATCGTAGTACTTACACAAATGCCTCCGCCTCAAAGGCGTCGCCAAAAACTACAGTACTAGAATTTTCTTTCTAATCTATTCGGGTATAGTCAACGTTTGGCTCTTTCTGTCAGCGTCAGTCATTTCTGCCGGAATTTTTTTCTGAGAGATTATCCTACGCGAAAATTCCCAATTTTGTGCATTAATTTTGGAGTGAAAATAATGTTTTTCCGCTGACACCAAACTTAAAAAGATTGAAGAAACGAAACTCAGTTGGTCTTGTAGCTGAAGATATATGCTTTTGTCCCATGTACAGTTATTCTCCTTCCGAATTTTTCCACGGCAGAGACGATCGCTAGATTTGAGGGTTTGCAGCTTCGAATAGAAACACCGAAAAACTGAAAATAATGTAACATACGTTAGAAGTTGTGACAGCTTTGTTGTCAAGAAATTAATATGTGGGCATTCAACAAATTCTACATTACATTTAAAAACTGGGACGGAATTATTTTTGGCCGACAAAATTAATTGTCCTAGACAGAGTGTCATAAATAAATGGATATGGAGCAAAATTGGATACATATACATATAAAGAGGCCTACATATATGCGTTTAGCGCCCTGAGTGTCTGTTCAGAATTAATTTTTCCAAAATTCTCATTTTCACATGTTTTTATCTGTAGTCACGAGTTGCTCTGTTAAATTCAAGTCACATAAAAATTTACATTTAAACTCCTGATAGTGTACATACATATAGCTACAGGGTCGAATATGGCGACCTGTGGGACAGGGAATGTTACGAGCCGCCTAACATCTGCTTGGAGATTTAATGGCCCGCGGATGTCAAATCTGGGTATCCGGAAACGGTGGGCTAGGGCTTGGGGTCGGGCTACCTTGATGGGCTACCCTTCTGGGCCCCAAAGGGTGTGCATGGGGGCTTGGTCACAGATTTACTTGTCTTTACAGCTGTGGGTGGGCTGTTTGGGGTGGTAATCACTCCTATTAGCAAGGCAAGCAAGACTTAGTAATAGCATGGAGATAAAAAATCATGATCTCCATGGTCATAGGAAGTATGTTTTTGTTACGAAGAAAATTCCAAGTCAAATCTTGCGCATTTATAGCCAGACTATTAACTGCTTTCAAAAAGCCCCCCCCCCACCCTCCCACAAAAAAAGGTCATAAATGCAGTCGCCCCAAGAAGTCTGCGGTGTAGGCTATGCTAGTCGTCTTTTGGCTGTTGATGAAAATGGAAAAAAAAGTGTTTTACATCATGAGACTATGGCCGTGTTCATGTGAAGTCAGTGAAGGCGCTTTACATGTGGTTTACCCCGAAGCCGGTTTCAAGTGGCTCCATCTGAACGCTCCAAATTACATTGAAAGCGCCTCGATCCCAAACCACTTCTAGAGGTGGTTTCGAATCGGTTTTCCCGCATCGCGATTTGCGTCTGAACGCAATGTGATTTCAATGTAACTTCGCCTGGCCGTGGATTACGGGGTTGTTGGCATCCTTCCGTCTCGGGAGACGATGGAGTCCGCGCCATGGTTCAGTTCGTCTTCAGACATTCTGATTTTGTCTCAGAGTAAGAGTTGTAGCCTACACAATTTTATACAGTTCGTCAAAGAACGTTGAAGCCAACAAGTCAAATAGATACTAGTATAACTGATGCGTGCGGCTTCCTGGCTGTGGAAGACATGTATTACTGATGACGTGCTTGCTGAGTCCTGAGTTTCGAAGAAAGGAATCTTGTCGCCGGAAAAACTCATTTTTTAAGACGGAGGAGTTGAATAAATCATGTCTTTATTAATACCAACTAGAAGTGCCAGATTTCGCTCAGGCGCTGTTCGTTCTGCTAACGTGCTATCATTAACAGGCACATGTATATACATTCAACAATTCCTTAAATACATGTATTTGAAACCTGTAAACAAAATTATTTTGGTAGACAAAATTAATTGTCCCAGACGGAGTGTCATAGATAAATGGACAATGAGTAAAATTGGCTAGGATACATATGTATACAAAGATGCTTCAAAAAATTGCATGAACACTAACAGTGATTGTTCAAAAAATTGCATGAACACTAACAGTAATTGTTCAAAAAATTGCATGAACACTAACAGTGATTGTTCAAAAAATTGCAGAACGTTTATGGCGTCCCCCGTCTCCTATTAGCAAATGAGCTAAGATGTCGAAGCTAGTCTTCAGGATCTAGCACAACAGAGGCCGTTTGGGCGCTATCTGTTCCGTACGTTACCGGAATCGACTGTCCGTCGCCTGCCTGTGTCGTTTCTGTTTTGTACAGGCGATTATTATCCTTGCTCTTCGTGACAACGGAAAAATTTGTCTCTGCCGCTGATGCGTAGAATGTGACAGAATCACCACCGATATCTTCATCTGTAATATGCCAGTACTGATGCGGAAGAGATGCTGGTCTTGGTGCACTGTTAGTTGTATTGTCTGAGACTGTCCTGGTACACAGAAACGTGTCGATTGGAAGTGATGACGGTCGGCGCTGGCTTCCAATGGCGTCGGCGTCTGGGATTTCGCTATAGCGGGCTTCGTCTGTTACCGGGTCGCGAGTGGAGTTTGCGAGGGCGATTTCCCGAGTGGTCCCGATTTCCGAATTCGGAACGGAATCAACTAGGGCGTCTGGAATTTCCCAATAATTTGGAGCATCAAGTTTTCCCGGAGCCGGTTGCTGAGTGGAATCTACGAGAGAGTCCGGAATTTCCCAATAGTGCGGGGCATCGAATGGCGTGTCATGGGCGCTTCTTCTGCCGTTTTTATTTGCAGGATTGTTAGGCACTGAACACTGACGTTTGAGATGTGTTCTCCTATGCAGCCTGTCAAAGATATTGTCCTGGAGCATCACAACTGGAGACGACGAAGCTCTTCCTCTTGCATTTATATTTTTCATCTCCATAGACTCAGTTGGTTCACCTCGGTTGCCTGTTTGGAAATGAGAGTTTCTGCCGTTGTTTCTGCCAGCGAGCTGTCGTTTTCTATAAACGTAGATCAGGGTAAGCCCAAGGCAAAATAGTCCCACTGTGACCAATGCCAAGGTGAATCCTAAGGTGATATGTTGTTTTTCTGGACGGTCATCATGTACTTCTGTTCTGTTAGGCAACATTTTTCTTGTTGTGGCTTTGTCTTTTAGATCAAAAGTATATATCGCAGTGGTGTTGTGCGAAACTGTATTGTTGTCGGTAATATCGTGAACTTGGTTTTCCAAGCAAGTTTTGCCAGAGATGATCATGACTTGTGTGGGGTCAAAGAAAGAAAGGGATGCCTTGTCTGGGGTAAGCGAAAGACAGGTCACATTTCTTATTTCTTGCCCTTGAACGTGCCGTCTCTTACCCACCAGTGTATTTGAACTGTTTTCCGTTTCTGTCGACTTTTCATCGAATATCAGTGCCGTATTTGCTATTGTTCTGTTTCTTTGTATATCTGCAGTAACAAGCCGAATGTTGAGACTATCCTTCAGAGGCAACTGTATTCTTTTTTCCTGCTTCCAGGCAGACACACACTGCTCTGTGGCAGACGCACCTGCTTTAGCCAAAACAATAACGAATGGTGACACAAGCATTGCTGACTTTGGACGAGTCCCCAAACTATCCAGTCCAGAACAAAATATCATCTGCCCCAGTGCCCCTAAAAATATCATCTTTGGATTTCTTCTCATTCCACTGTAGTTGGTATTCGTTGTCGTGGCCTTGACGTAAACAGAGAATAGAGTTCTCGATAACAGCAGATATTTGTCGCATGTGGGAACTAATTCGAAGAGACAGACTCCACTGTTTTGTGATATCAGTGTTGACGCTGTGGGTATTTGAGAGTTTTACGATCAGCAATGACCTGAGTTGGTTGTTGTCGAAACCGTAAAACAGCTCCGGAGAGAGACATGCTTGCACCAACCTGTTCCGACTTATGTCCACTAGGCGAAGTGTGTGCTGGCTGAAAGATTCGAAAGTTCTACTGTGGATTGTTTCAATGCGATTGAATCCCAGGACAAGCTCCCTTAGCTCAAGAAGACCTAGAAAACTGGAATGGTCTATATACGTTAGCTGGTTTCCCCAAAGTATCAACTCCCAAAGGCCAGTGAGCTCTTGGAAACAACCTGACTCTAGGTGTGAAATTTGGTTGTGTGCGAGAGACAAGGTGCGAAGATGTCTCAAATCACCAGCTGTAAAGTAGCTGGTTTTTACCTCAGTCAGGTTGTTGAATTCCAAGCGCAACTCATGTTACATGTAATGTGGAAAGATTTGCTAAAGTGTTTTGTTCCAAGTCCGTAATCTCGGTGTCTACGAGGGCGAGGAAAGCCAGTTGTGTGGGCTCGGGGATGGGTAACTTTGCCGCCGACAGAACGCCGAACGGAACCCCCCTGACGCCGACCCATTTCGGGTCGCTGAAACACGAAGCGTCAGGGAGAGGTCCTGGTTCTTTCGAGCACGTGAGACAAGGATGGTTGATGTTTCTAGTATTGAACCAACTCCCGCTGAACTGCAGACGGCCGTCAGAGCAGCTTACCCATCTGCACTCGGGGGCACAAGACTCATTCGCTGAGGCGGATAGCAGGACGCTAAAGAACAACCATACCTTGAGAGCGCTAAGGCAACGTTCCATGATGCTTTGTAGATTTTTTTGCGAGTATCTCGAAGAGTTGTAGCCTACACAATTTCATACAGTTCGGCAAAGAACGTTGTAGCCAACATGACAGAGTATAACTGATGACGTGCTTGCTGAGTCCTGACTTTCGAAGAAATGAAACTTGTCGCCAGAATTTTTTTCTTCAAAACGGAGGAGTTGAATAAATCATGTTTTCATTAATAGCCGGAACCAACTAGAAGTGCCATGCGCATTACGGTCCAGATTTCGCTCAGGTGCAGCTCTTCCGCGACAGGGTCGTGATAGTGCGCGGTAAAAAAGTGACGAAAGGGTTTTGAGGGTCCAAGTTTGAGGTGACATTTCTCATAAACTGCCATGAAACATGGCTTAAGAGTGTAAGAAATGGTGATTTGGGGGTGAAAATTTCTTTTGGCTCGGAACCTTACTTCTGGGTATTCTTGCGCGCCAAGTGTAATCCGCCCGTTTGACCTAGATTTCGCTCTGCGCCTTACTCATTATCGACTTGCAACCCCTTGTGCCGTGGACAGTACTACAGTACTAAACTACAAAAAACTACAGTACTAGAATTTTCTTTCTAACCTATTCGGGTATAGTCAACGTTTGGCTCTTTCTGTCAGCGTCAGTCATTTCTGCCGGAATTTTTTTTCTGAGAGATTATCCTACGCGAAAATTCCCAATTTTGTGCATTAATTTTGGAGTGAAAATAATGTTTTTCCGCTGACACCAAACTTAAAAGATTGAAGAAACCAAACTCAGTTGGTCTTGTAGCTGAAGATATATGCTTTTGTCCCATGTACAGTTATTCTCCTTCCGAATTTTTCCACGGCAGAGACGATCGCTAGATTTGAGGTTGTGCAGCTTCGAATAGAAACACCAAATAAACTGGGGTGTGTCCCCATGACAGGTGTACATGTGTACGGGAATTCGATGGAAAAACTGAAAATAATGTAACATACGTTAGAAGTTGTGACAGCTTTGTTGTCAAGAAATTAATATGTGGGCATTCAATAAATTCTACATTACATTTAAAAACTGGGACGGAATTATTTTTGGCCGACAAAATTAATTGTCCTAGACAAAGTGTTATAAATAAATGGATAGTGAGTAAAATTGGATACATATGCATATAAAGAGGTCTGCATATATGCGTTTAGCGCCCTGAGTGTCTGTTCAGAATTAATTTTTCCAAAATTCTCATTTTCACATGTTTTTATCTGTAGTCACAAGTTGCCCCGTTCAATTTAAGTCACACAAAAATTTACGTACATTCAAACTCTGATAGTGTACATACATATTGCTACAGGGTCGAATATGGCGATGTGTAGGACAGGGAATGTTACGAGCCGCCTAACATCTTGTTTTTGGCGACGTCTCGGGGAGGAGCCTAATGGTACAGTATTGTGTGCAAGAATTCTAGGAATGGTACAGGCATTCTGTCCACAGGCATGCGGAATGTCCACAAGCATTTCTCTGACCCACATCTATGCCCACATTCCTGGAAACCCTTGGGAAGACCTGTCTGCCCCAGATGGCCCTACTTTCTGTGACCACGGGGCTCATTCACTATACACTCGGGGGAGGAGTGCACTATATCTTTACCAAGGCTACCTCAAAATGAAAACAATAACCCTAACTGCAACTACCGTCGCCATGGCAATGTATGTTTTCATTGCCAGTCTTATGTTTTGTTCTCAAGGAAATATATGATCTCTATGTATTACATGTAAATGGAGATTTTAAAATAGAGAAAATAACTGTTAACACGCAGGACTGTTGTAAAAAAAAAGCCTTTAATCAAGACATAAAATCAGCATACATGAACTAGTATCATTGTTATGAACTTATTTAGTCTAAATACTGTATATACATGTACATATAGAAATACAGGGAAAGGTAATATGTATTACACTACAGACTTGTTTCAATTTGGTGCTTTTTGTACATAGCTATAAAAATTAAGTCCCAGGTTGAGACAAAACTTTGAAGCAGACTGTACACCATGTTTGTCATTTCATACCCAGGAAAGCTTGAATGTTTGTTTACCCACAAGATACATAATGTATGTAGACTATTAAATAGACTGCAATAGGAAAGCTTTAACATAACAAATTGAGCAGTACAGTTAATAGAAAAACAATTCTCCACAACTTTAGGTCAGGTGTATTTCTACTCTTCACTATAGCTATGATAGGAGACTGACATTGTTTATATGTGAATAATAGCTATATGAATATCCATAGATCAGATGCATATTTTCATATCTGAAGTTTGATCAGATTCTCTTTCTCAGTTGCTTAAAGCGTCCTAAATATGCTATGTGAATATTCAATTTTTCTGTACACTAATTTTCCATAGACTAATAGGAATGACACTTGACAAAAGATACTGGGCATTAAAATAATAATAACTGAACTAAAGTTTTGTCCTGTAGTCTGCCAGAAAGTAGTCTACAGAAAAATTGATGACCACAATCATGGCATATTCAGGTTGCTGACACAACTCCACCACCACCCAACCAACCAATAGACTAAATATTGAAAATTGACCTATTACTGATACATACCATTATACATACATGTACATTTAAACAGAGAAATTGCATTAAAGACACAATTCAATGACATCTTACATGTACCTAGTCTTTTCATTAAACAATTAATATTTAGTATCAGCAAGGAACATTTCCTACAGACTACAGTTGTTCCATAATTATATACATGTACTTGTAATCTGAGCATGTGAACATGATAATGTACATGTAGTCGATAATGCCAGCAAAAAGGAAAAATGACATTATATTTAGTTAATAATGGACTGGAGGAAAGGAAAAAGATAAGAACAGCTGGCAGAGATCTTGAAACAGATGATGAGACAGAAAGAATACTTTCTTGTACATAAAGAGCACTGTTATCACTATACAAAAGTACAGAAACTTGTAGTTGAAGATCCAACTTGTATAGTCATGTAGAAGGTCAAATAACATCTAAGTTATACGGAAATGAAACTCAAGTTGGACTGCAAATAGTACAATACCTGACATTGTATATCAGCAATATTGCCACATACTGTAACAACCAAAATGTTTGGCTGCTTTCTGATTGAAGGGTTTGCCTGGACAGATGATGGAATTTGAGTTCATCCCAACTACATGTATCCCATGCTTCTTCTACAATGTATATGTGGATTATTTTGATATTCTATTTCGTAGATGTGTAGGTCGGAGACCACATACAAAACTTTTAAGTTGGCAGACCAATACAGTTTGTCACCACATAAAGATATAAATACAAACTTAATGAGAACGACTGAAAAAACAAGCTTCCCTCTTTGACCTTTCTAGGATTTAATAGTATTCTACAAGCTCATCCAGTTGAGAATGACATCACATCTCTTGGTAGAATGAAGCCAAGTTGTTTTTGTGGTGAGATGAGTTGTGTTGGATGTGAATCACTGTGCCCCTCATACCTTGTGCCGCCTAGAAAAGAAAAGACACTCAAACTGTGAGAAATGGATCCAATCACATGTGGTAACTATTGCAAAGGGCTGAATTACTAACATTTTGTACACAACCGACTAAAGGTGAACCAATCATCTATCAACAGTAAAAATTCAGAGAGCAACTAGAAAGGTAACATTGCAAAGCAAATGCATAACATTTGCAAAGCAAATGCATAATGTTTAAATTCACGTGGTCTAGCCCAACTAACTACAGCTACTGCTCTGTTTATTGTTACTTAAATGCATTCATAATTATATAATAAATATTTGGTGACAAGCCCCTCCAATTTTGTCTTGCTACATAATGTAACCAACACCACAGGGTGTCTGCTGCAGCACCAGTTACCATGGTGACAGACGTCTGGTCCAGGTCGTTGACAGTTTAGAGAAGAAGAGGAAGAGAGGAGACAGAGCAAAAACAATGTTTCCTTCTGTGAAGGTAAACATAACCAGTAAGTCACTGACCAATGATCTGTATGGGACCAACACTTATTGATGAGTTTAAAAGTGGATCCAGTAATATTTTCTTAATTGTACTTACTTGGCACTTGCCCTGCGATCATGACCTTCAACAGCAATGGCACACTGCAAAGAACAAATGAAAGAAGTTAGACATAATCTACACAGCTGCACAATTAGAGGGCTGGTTCTTAGACTTATCTGACACATTTGCATATCAGCATAATTGAAGAGTATCTCAACTTCAGAAACAGATCTATTCTTCTGATGCCTATTTCTTTAGATAAAAATAGAAAAGGAACTGCTCCACTCAAGCTACTAGAAGAAACAAACCTAGAAAGTCTGCACAGGAGGTTACAAGTCTCTTATCTAAACTTCAGATCTAGAGATGTACATGTATGTTAATGTCTTATATTTCTTACTTCTATAAATAACAGCTATATCAGCAATGAAACAACAGTAAAAAGCAAGCAAATAAAAAAGAAATTGTGAGTAAATTAGACATTCTGGGTCTTGTTCATGTCTTTTGTATTCTGCACATGTATCATCTCTTTAAAAAAATGGTAAAAGAACGAATCTAGAAAAAAGCCAGTTTCATTAAAATCAGACACAAGTCATTACCCGAGTCTCCACATCAGTCCAGTCACCACTGTGCTCCTCTGCTATATCCTCAGATGCACTTCTCTTTCTGAACAACAAAAACAGAGAACACACTACACTTCAGCTGATGTCTTTGTTTAGAATTTCAAATGGAGAAAAACCCAAATCTTTTACAACTTAGAGTATTTTACAAATATGCTGGCAAACTACTCAGTGTTGTTACATTTACAGTAGTCTAAATAACAATTTCTAAACTCACATACAGGAGTGTGCTTTGGGAAAAGCCGGCTTCGAGCAACCATTTTTTAGAGTAACTGACTGTTAGAATTAGGATTTTTACTTAAGCATATTAACTGCTGTAAGAATTTTTTTCCAGACATGCAAAAAATGGGCAACCCTTAAATGAGTACATTTCTCACATCAGTCAACATTATATGTACTGACCTGCTTTCAGGAGGTGCCTGCTGCTTCAACACCTCTATGTCAGTAAACTGCACACTGTGGCCTCCTGCTCGGGACTTGAACACATCCCCCTGTATAACACACACAAAAGGTGTTCAAGAAATGCATGCAGTTAAATATTTTGTACAAAATGTTCATGTCATACACAACATGTTTAATACAGACACAACTTGTATACACATTGCATACAACATGTACACAACAGCAACAAGATGCACATGACTTGTACAAGGCATACACAACAGGTACAAGACAAGAAATTTTGGATTTTTAAGCCTTCAAAAATACAATTTTCTGCATTTTGAGAGCCCTGAATCATGGGGTTGGGAGTAATTGTTGGTGGTCTTTCAGATGTTTTTTTTTCTAAGATTTTTGTTGATTTTGTCTCTGAAGGTTGTGGCAGATTGGTTTAAACATTTTTCCGTCACACACACCACAAAGTTCAACTTAATTGACAGAAAAACAGGTGCTGGTTACAGCCTTGGGCTACATGCATGTAGTTGCTGCAGCATGAATCAGTCCAACTTACCTTGATGAGTTTAGTCTCAATTTCTCCCTGGGAGTCTTCCTCCTGATGAGTCAGGAGATACTTGTCTGTCTTCTTGATGTTCTTGACATCTGGGACAGACACAGTCATCTTCTTCTTCAGCTGCGGCTGCAGAACTGTCTCTGTACAGTAGATACAACAATAAAAATGATTAACAAAAACTCTGCTAAACTATACCTTGTACCATACATCTGACACATCTGCTTCAACAAGTGTGGGGTCGTGTGGTTTAGCAGTAGCGTCTTTGGCCTGGAACCAAGAGGTCGAACCCCACCTGGTCACCGATCTTGTGCCCTTGGGAAAGGCACAATCACACGACTTTATGAGTCTTTCCTCAGACTCCCTCGGATAGAACGTTAACTGGAGGTCCCATGTTTGGGAAAGACACACCTCGAGCACGTTAAAGATCCCACCACACCTTTTGTAAAAGAGTAGGGGCATGCCCCGGTGTGCGATGGTCCAAATACTGGTCTGATTATTCACTACAGACTCCAGGAAGAGTAGTGTGAAATTCACACAAATGGAGACCCTAAAACAAACAAACAAACAAGCAAACAAACACAGAAAATACAGAAAAAAAACAAGCTGTTTATGTTATGGTTTGCACTATGATTATAGTATGAAACCTGGGAATTTTTACCCTCTGGTGCTGTGCATCCTGGGAATGGGAAAAGGGTGAATTATGGGATATAACTTACCAGTCTCCAGGTTACAGACAGGTTTGTGGTCCAGCCAGCGGTCACCAGACGCAGACCGAGATCGGCGATGGTTTAAACGCACTGGTGGGGCAGTCTGCAGGGAATGATAAATTAGACTTAAATCCTTTACCTACATGTAGGGCAACATGTTATGAACAAAGATCATAATGTATTGCTAAGTAGATATTGCAATCCTTGGCATATATGACAAAATGCATACAATACTTTTTTGTAGGAGGAATGACAATTTTATCTTTCGTTTAGAACAACATGTTTTACAAGTGGTAGTAGCAGTAGTAGCAGTAGTAGTACATGTAGTATTACTTGTAGTAGAAGATGCTACTGTAATTCACTTTATGTTCATGGTAGCAAAAGTTCACGGTCCGAAAAAAATGGATATGTTCACAGAACTATATATTCACAGTGGTGACAGGTGCAGGGAAAAGAAAGTCCAGGAATTATTTGTTAACTGTAATGATAAGTTCACGGTACAGAAGTGACTGTGAAAACAGTGAACATAACAGTACAGTGAAAAAATCAGGAATTACAGTATACTTACTGGCTTGGGAGGAGGGGATTTTGCTCGCCTTTTTCCATCCTGTGGAGAAATGTGAAGAGACAATTCAGTGTGGTTTACAGTCTTAAATAGCAGGTTTTTTTTCTAACTTGATGGAAAAAAGTTAGACTTATGACATGCTACATTTAGTCAGTGTTAGTGTGAAACTCAATGTAAGTTTCAACCAAGGTTGGATCTAGTATTTGTGTACGTATCATGATTGCAATTTGCAGTTTGTAAGCTTTGGAAAGGAAGCCCATAACTATTGCCATCACAGGTACACACACTCACACTAATGTGGCTGAGCTAACTACATTGTATGATTTGTCTTCTGGAATTGATCAAATGGTAGATCCAGTGTCTAGGTAGGCTGAAATTTTTGTCCGTCATCTCAAATTTGTTTGGCATAATATAATGTCAAACACCAAAGGCATGACAATTCTAGGGAAATACAAGGACATGCTCCCCCAGGAAATTTTTAAATCTTTGCCCCCTAAAAGTAAAACACTATTTTCTGCAGTTTGAGGGGCAAATCTTGCTGGTAGACTAAGTTTATTTTAATAACATCATTCTCTTCCATATCTTTCCATGCCAATTTTTGTCCATCAAAGATGACAGATTGGGCAAAATTCTTGTCTGTCATGAGCGGTAAATGCTGTCAAATAAAGGACGCTGGCTGAAACACTGGGTAGAACTACAGTAAATCAATCGACTGTGAACCGGGAGACCCGGTCCGATCCCGAGTTGTACCCTGAACATGCGCCCGACGTTGTGTCCTTGGGAAAGGCACTTTACACGACTTTCCTCACTCCACCCAGGTGTGAATGGGTACCTAACTTCGGTTGGGAAAGTCGTATTGAGGTCACCTTGTGGCGCCGAATGGCAGCCGCACAGTCCCTTGCGGCAAATATGTATCATGACATTTTGTATTATGTGTATTATTATGTGTATTATTACCATTTGTATCATCTGATTGTAAACCCTGCATCAATTCAGCCCTATAAGGCTGCGATTGCACGGGTGATGTTTGTGGAATAGACCATTAATTATTTCTATACATGTATAACCACCTTGGAAACAATCTCCTTCAGCTGACGCAGTTTCTCCTCCTTTACCCACATCTTGTTCTGCAGCTCCAGACGCTGCTGCTTCATCCTGCGCTCCTGTACAGGGACAGTGGGGCACATGTAACTACAACTGTGCATCATGATATTGTACTGTGTTGTAAATATAGAATACAACACGGGGTATTCCGTATCGCCCGAGGTACAAGCCCGACAGTGCGTCGGATCGTCTGAAGGCCGGAGGGAGATCCGATCCACGGGGGGTGAGGGGGGTGGGTGGGTGGTCTGGGACCGAAATAAAATACATGGGGACATAAAAAATTTAGGTCATACCCACCCAAGAAAACACGCCTTTCAATGCGAAATGAGCGAAAATTTGGTGTCCCTAAACCAAAAAAAAATGCAACAACAATTCTAAGGCCCAAATTTTGTGTTTGAATTTCACATTTTGCCTAGAAAACCCTAGTCAAAAGCTTGATCCGTGCTGCATGGATGCTTAAAGCTTACATGCCCCACCAGTGCCGCATAGATGCCCACTGCCACGGTAATTTCATGGTAATTATGGCTGTCTGAGTTTCCCTCCTTAATCTGTCAACCAAGCAAGCCTTGAAGGAGGCTGTGCTGCATGCGTGCCATTTCCTGCCACGGTGATTATAAAGTGGACACGCTTCACCTTTAGATTAACCCCTAGTATCTGCTAAAGCAGAGATGTCCAGTCTTTTCAGTTGGACTGGAAATGATTTGAAGACGATGGACAGGAAATATGGTGCAATTTACCATTGTTTAGGAAATTTCTTACCAGTTCAGTTGTTCTCAAGTTGCAGATTTCTGTGGCAGGATACTAAATACAAAATCGAACAAAGGCTAGTGCCATAGTGTACCCATATTGTTACAATGTTTTTAGTTATCAGCAGGAAAACTTTCTCCCAAGCTACTATACATTGTGTTTGTTTCATCTACATTGTAACTCTACATGTAGATTAGCTGTCTTTTGTATTCAAGCAATGAGGGTAAGCCTGTACTACAAGGGCTTTTAATTTAGTGGTCTGCACCACTGGGTCTGCACTGTGACTTGTGTCCAGTAGCTGAAAACTGTTTGGGGCCATATGGAAGGATGGCCACTAACAAGGCATAGTCTGTAGGCAAGGGATAGTCTGTATCAGGTGACCTGTGTGACCACATCAGGTGGTCTGGTATGGCAGCCCTGTTCCATTTAGGGACCGTACGTTATTTACTGGGGGGGAGGGCCGGTGCGTAGGAAGTCAGGCAGAAAAGGTTTTCCCTGGCCCTCCCCCCCC